TTCAAAAAAATAAAAATTGAAGATGAGAGAAGTAAGTGAAGATGTAAATAACAATAAAGAGATGAATAAATTAGAAAAATGAAAATAAATAATCGCATCTAAAATATTTAATAAGTGAGAGAATGTAGGAATAATTTAAGAGAAAGAATGTGAGATTCTGGTTGATCAATTTTGTCCATGGGTCCCACGGAAAAACTAAAAATATTTTTATTTAAATAATAATAGTACTCCTCTACACATGACACAATTTGAATTGAAGTAGTATGGAAGTTCTTCCTATTACGGGATGACTTATTTCAGGTTTTATTCTCTGATGTAGTGTGACTTATGTGGTAGATCCTTACGATTGAAGTCTGTTGTCTAGGTTGAGCAAATAGGACTTGAACCTAAGACTTTAGGGTAGGTGATACCACAAGACCATCGTTAGAGGATCGATTTTTACTCTTGACTTTTTGTTCATTAATTTTAGGTTTTTGGACTTTAAAAAATGTTTTATTTTAGTTTATGTACTTTTAACTTTTTTTTTTCATTTTAGTCAGCAAATTGTCTGTTTAGATCTCTGTACATTTTAAAAAATGACCATTTTTTATCTATATTTCTAAAATTTTAACATAAATTTTATACACAATCGAAACCATATAATACAATTTTATAGTCACATTTCAAGAAATTTTGTGAGTGAAGTGTCATACTAAAATTCTAATGAAAATAAATGAGATAAAAATAAAAATAAATGAACCAAAATGGCCACTTTTTTAAAATTACAGAGACCTAAAACTAACGTTTTAAAAGTATATAAACTAAAATGAACACAAATTGAAGGTAGACATGTCAAAATGGGGGTTTAGAAATTACAGGACTAAAATAAATCAAAATCGAAAAAATATGTGGACCAAAATAGTTTTTAAACCTAATAATAAATTATTATTATGAATCTTTTGTGAGATAGCGTGAATAATCTATGTTATTATCCCTAGAAGAAAGTGGCGATAAATCATATCATAAAAGAAAATTATGAAGGATCATACAAGGGATTCACAATAGAGCTTTATAACGATACCTTTACATTCACAAAATTTTGTGTATTTTTTTAATGGCTCCATGCAAACAATTCTAGAGACAAAAATACAAAATACCCACTCATGTGTGCTTTGCTAATATTAATTAATTACTATTAGAACCTAGAAACTTATGATGGTATATGAAATTAGAATGAAGCAGTGTTGAGTGCAAGAGAGTATGAACTTCGTCTCTATAACACAAATATTCATATTTAAGAGACAACAAATCAAATATTACCATATTTCAATATAATTTTTGTACGACATACAGACGTGACRTATAAGGAATCATGCATTATATAATTATATATATGATATGATTAATTATATAATGATATTATGTACACACGAGGATTCATTGGGTATCGTTTCCGTTTTTGAAAAACATAAGTGTTTGCAACTCCTAATTAACCATTTATGTTTCTGGTTTATTTATAGTTTTTTTACAAAACATATATAAATAAAAGCATTATTTTACTATTTTTTTAACTTATAATATGCATGATAAATAATAAATATTTTAGAAATAAACAAAGTGTAAAAATTTTGAATATTTTAAAGAATTAATTTTTGTATAAAATTTTTACTTCTGTTAGTTGAAAATTGTAGAAAATGATAAACAATAAATGTATCAACCATGTTTCATTTTTTTCAATGAAAAAAAGTTAAAAAAAAAACTAAGAAAACTGTTTTATAGTACCAATTTTGTATATTTTTTTTTACTTAGAACCAAATTCGGTTTGGTGAGGACGAAAAAAATCTCACTCCTCAGTTACAAGGATTATCCTTCGTCGTCATTAAATATTTCACAATCAAGAGAGAACTAAAATATAATTTTTAAAATAATAATAAGTTATCCAGTATTTTCTACTAAAAAATAAACCCTCACCACACCGGCAACCCCGTTATATAATTTTTATAATATATATTTATATATATAATATGGCCCTTGGGTTTCCCACAGGGACGCTTACGTATGAATTTACCACGTGGCATGGGGCATCCGTCCCTCATAAAACCCTGTCATGGCCTCGTGTTTTCGGCAAACCGTGGGACATCAGAATCTTTAATTTCAATTTTCAACATCCTTTTAAATCTTTTTCATGCACTAAAAATATATTTTTACATTATATAATATAATATATACTTCCACTTTATTTTCCAACACTTTTGCGTACTTCTTTTTTTCGCTTCTTACAAAAGCATTCCAAGAAAAAGAAAACGCCCTTTCAAATCGATTCTAGATTGTGAAATTTATATGCAGTCATTTTCCAGTTTTATAATTATTATGTCATATTTATCTTTATATTCTTTTTTTAAATTATATTCTCCCATTTATATTTGTCTATGTTGATGTAAGATTTAGATGCGGACTAATATAGATTTATATCTGATATCTAAATGAGATAAAGATTTAATTACGAATAACATAAAGTAGGGTTTTGTCGAACATACCTCGAATTCTAGAAATCTCGTTTATTTACATAGAGGAAATCTCAAATGAATATGTGTTCAACCAAGTCCAATTAGATCACGGGATCAGGTTTCTGGTACTACCCTAATCTGATTGGGTCAAGTCGGGTCTGGTGGCTCCGCCAGGCGGCTTGAGTACTCCATCTCTTTCTTTATCTCACTTCAAGTGAACTTAGTATGATAATTTCACCCACAACAGTTTCATTGTTATATGTCATTCCATGATTGAATTGTAAGAAGTCATTGATTTTATTTTATTTTCCCTCAATCTAGAGGAGATTAACTTAGCTTATATTATTAAGCAGTAGAATATAAGAATTAGATATGGAATAATGTTATTGACATGAACATAATTCCAAAGTTATTGATATGTACTCCTTCCTTCAAGGTTGGAAGTTCGATTCCACATATCTCTAAAAGGTTGTACATAAAAAAGACGAATTTGCACCGACCACTTATGCGATCACTTATGCAACAGTGGTGGCTATAGCATCACAACATTTAGCCTTTTTGAGAGGGAAAAAGAAAAAACATTTGATTTTAATTTGTGTGGTGCGAACGGTATGGAAAAAGTTTGGATAACCTCTGGGGACCTCACAGCATATCGAATCCACACCCCCCTTCCCCCAACAAGCCTTAATTAACTCATATAATAAGTTCCCCAATTTCAATCCATAGTAAATAAATAATAAAATGGGAAAAGTTTAATTTAAGGTGGTCTTAAAATTTTTAATTTCACAAATTTAAATACTGAATCTGAATTAGTGTTGTAATTTAAACCCTCTGCTAGGTCTTGAAGTTTGTTTTAGTTGTGTTGAATGCTTTTAATTAGTTGAATTTTAGATATTTTTAAAGCTCATTTGATAACGTTTTTTGTTTCTTAATTTTTAACAAAGAAAAATAAAATTAAAATTGTATGATCACCAACATTAATGAATTCAAGAGTACGATGAAATAATATTTATATTTATGTTTTGTAACAATTTGTAAAAAAAAAAAAACAAGAAACAAAGAAACTTATTTTGATTCTTTCTAAAAATCCTATATAATCTTGAAAATTAAAAAAAAATGAGAAATAGGAAATATAATTAGTTGCAAAATGTTTAGAATTCTTAATAAAATTGTAAACAAGAAACAAGAAATAAGTTTTTGTGATTGGGTTTTGACATGATCTGGAGACTTATGTTAGTTTAATTTTGTATGATTCATTGGTCAGGTTCGTGAACAATGTTTAAATATAATTTTGAAGAGATATTCATTGCAACATTTATTCAAGTTAAGCGTTTAATTAATCTCTTTTCCAATCTTATTAGTAATAAACTGAATTTTATTAGTTTCCTTTTTCGGAATGGTTAAACTTTGCTTTCTAAGAAAAAGATCTTCCGCCAAAGTGAGCATAGTTCTGTGGTAATTGACATATATCTCCAATCAAGAGGTTGTGAGTTTGATTATCACTCTCAAATATTGTACTAAAAAAAATTATTTCAAGCAATTGTTCACGATTTTCTTTTTCGTTTTAAATTGAAACTCAACTATACAAACATGGATTTTATTAAAATTTAAATCGGTTAAACTATTAGTCCACCCAATCGAACAAATTATTTTCTTATTTTTTCAAATCTTCTTTTTTTAGTACAACATATGAGGTGGGGATCAAACTCACACGTCACAATTTCTTGATTGCAGATATATATTAATTGTTGCAGAGTCATACTAGCTTTTAGCTTTTTTTTTTCAAATCTTTTGTGTATATATACACACACATACACATATTTATAATTTGTACATATATACATATAACCTTTTCCATAAATTTAAAAAATAAATATATGTACAGAGAGAAACATGCCTATTTATATTACATTTGATTTTAGACTTAAAAATGAAATTGTGCTGCATTTTTATTTTTAAAATTTTATGCTCTATATAATATTCACATTTTTTTTAAAGAATGGATAAAATTTCAAATGTCGATGATGTTCTATACCGTACGGACAAGTCTCTATTTTCCGCGTTGCAATTCCAAAGATTCCTTAGCTGTCGTTCTGCTTTATTATCTTCATAATGCAACATGTCGTAATTCTACTCTAAGCAAAAGCATCAGCCAAAAAGTTTCAAATCTAAAATTACATATTCGCCCTTTTTATTCTAATTTATTGCTTGTAATAAAGTGCTATTTTTCCTTCTATTTAAAGTTCGCAAAAAAAAAATAAAATAAAATAAAATTGTATATTGACCTCATCATCTCAAAGCGTGATTGAGAAACCAACCAAAATCTATTATCTAATGGAACATTCTTATTTGATTTCCTTCTCAATCATTTTCTTCCTTTCCCAAAAGCCATTTACTCCTTTATCCTTTTTTTTCCCTTCTACATTTTTCTCTTCTTTTATCTCCCTCCAAAATCTCATATAAATAGAGCCTTCATTCCATGCCTCGAGTCCTCAATTCTCGTTTTCTATCCATATTACATTTGTTATCTTTACTCTGAAGAAAGGTGGTACAAACTTGACATAAAAACCTGTGTACCCCTCTCTCTTCTAGGCTTTTCAACCATGGAAATAGTCACGAGGATGATTTCAGAGAGGCCGGTAGTGATCTTTAGCAAGAGCACGTGTTGTATGAGTCACACTGTCATGAGGTTACTCAGTGGCTTTGGAGTTAATCCAGCTGTGTATGAACTGGATCAAATCTCGAAAGGAAGGGAGATTGAGCAAGCTCTCTCTAGGCTTGGCTTTAGCCCCACTGTTCCCGCTGTCTTTATTGGGGGTGAACTAGTTGGTGGCGCCAATGAAATTATGAGCCTTCATCTCAATCGATCTCTAATTCCTATACTTAGAAGAGCTGGTGCTTTATGGGTCTAAACTTTATTCTACTGTCGAATAAATCAAGCATTATTATATTAATATAAACGGCGGATATACATATACATAATTACCCAAACTAGCAGGCTCTTCTATATGACATGGCAAGCTTTTATATTGATGCAATTCAGCTAGCCATTTTTTGTAGTACTTGATGCAATGCCATGGTAGTCTATTTTGTAGAATATATAAAATTAGGCCTTTGCTTTTTTATCAAGTTGAGGGCATATTTTACTTGCCATCTTGAGGCCATTTGGGTATTGTACTTTTTTTGTGAGGAGGACATTTAATTCCTCCCACTATTTGATGCTATTGGGTGAGGTCATGAGTTTTTGTTTTTCATTTTAATTTCGATAACAGTGCTCGAACCAACTCGCTCACTCTATTTGATTAACCTTATCAAATAAAAGTTATATTATATAATATTTAGTGTCAAAATATCTCACAATATTTAATAATGAAGATAAGTAGTCAACAGGTTAGGGTACATGTATTCAACCATAAGGTTGAGAGTTCGAGCCTCCACCCCTACCTGTTGTACTAAAAAAAAAAATAGTCACACTGATTTGAATTAAATAACTCAAATCTCAATATTCAACGAAAAGAGAATTAAATTTTGATGATGAAGATAAATTTAGTAGTTTTGAAATCTTACTAAAGATTTTGGAGACGTTAATTAGGATGTGTAAAGGGAGAAATATATATAAAAACATACAATATTGAGAACTTTAATCAATTTGTTTATTTACGAAAATGAATTATATAATTGAGCATTTAAAACACCTACTCATTTATTTGAATTATACGTCTAAATTTTTACATTCATATTTGTTGTATTAAAAGACATAGTTTATCATCATGAACAGACTCATTGGTTAAGATAAATAGTTCTTTTCCCGGAGATTGGTGGTGTTCAATTTCTCATCCCACACTTTTTTCGTACTAAAATAATTATTTATTATAGAAAAACATAATTTGAGAAATCATAGCAATTTAAATCATCTTATACTTTTTGACATGTCAATGATTGTGTTTTCTTTTACGAGTTTGCATATTATAGCATTAGAGTTAAGAACTTTCAATAACTTTCTTCATCTTAATTGCAATGACTTATAACTTTTAAAATTTACTTAAGAGAACAATTCATTTGGCTAAAATGTAATATTCGTAGTAGTATTTAAATATTAGAGATTTGAATGATTCATCCATATCACTTGTTCCGAACCAAAAGAAATTATGTCTCACAAATACCTATTACAATCTTGAAAGTTAGTGGTCCGATACAAAGAGAAAGAAATTCGGGCTTTTTCTAATTTTTATAAAAATTAAATATTACAAAAATAACAATTAAAAAAAGTATGGCAGTGCTAATACATGTTGGTTATATTACTTAATTTTACCCAAGTGTTTTTATTTTATATAATAGTAATCTGTTAAACATAAATCAATAATTAGATATTGATTGGTAATAATCACGACAATCAATTAATTATAATATATCTATCCTTGTATGAGAATAACTCAGCACATAAGACATCTACTCTTTTAAACAAAAAATAAAAAATTGTAATCGTTTACATGAATTTTCCTTTGTTTATAATTATTTTTGAGCTAATATATATTTTCAATATTTATTTAATTTATATTATCTACCAACAAGAAGAGAATCATGCCTTCCTGAATGATTGATTTGACTTTTAAATGGGCCCAGCCCAGTTACACTGGCCCACGACCGAATTATTTGTGCGGAACCCAAGAATCCAGGGGGCCCATGAAAAAGCCCACGACAGCGTCAAGTCCATGTTCAACACGTGAGAAGCGAGATTGGGCGGCAGAAGAAGAAGAAGAAGAAGAACGCAGAATCCTGATACGGTTTTATTTTTTTATTTTATTTTTTTCCTTTTCGTTTCTCATTTGCGCTCCAATTTCCAAGATCTCTGACAATGTGGTCCCCACTTTACTGACCAGGAAAATTAATATGCAGTGGGCCCCACCCTCGAGCAGATAAATAAAACCCTCTCCCTCCAAAATCAACGGTCATTTCTTATTATCTACAAGGCCTTCGTTTGTCTTGTTCCTTCCCTCCCCCTGCAGTTCCCCATGGCGCAACTTAGCAATTTCTCACTCCGCCAACGATCCGCCATAGCAACGAGACAAAGTCAATGCTAACGTGCGCCGCCCACCGTCGCTTTCTTCCTTCTCTCCCCTCCGTCGCATCTGGAAAGATGGACGAACGAAAATGGAAAAGTTGCTGATCGTCCTCGGAGTTAGGCTTTTGGAGGATCCAATGTCGTTTTTGTAATCGATTTCTGGTGCGTTCTTCTGAGAGTATTGCGATCATTATCCGCTAGAATTGCGGTTTGCCTTTGCCGTTACCAAATCCTCTGCTCTTCTGTGCTCCGCCGTGGTTGTTGTACTGTATCTCACAACTTCTTCTGGAGTCCGAGGCTTCTTTTTCTTTTGGTTCTGATGCTGTTGTTGTGTAGCTTGGCTTGATGATAATGTGGCTTCTTCTCTTGAAGCTTAGGGTTTCGGAGTGAGAGGAAGTTGCTGCTGTTTCTGAATAAGTTTTTGAGTTTATGAAAATGTTCGGGTTTCGAAGGCGAATGAAGCTTGGAAGGTGAGCTGTAGTTCTAGTTTGACTGTAACTTCGGTATGTTTCTTTGATATCTGGATAATCTTGAGCGACGATGAATGTATTATGACTATGAGGAACTCTAAACCTGTACGCTCACTGCGTTGATTAGTTCGAATATTCTTTTTTAGTTTTTTTTCTTCTTTACCTTTCTAACCGGAAAAATGCGGCGTAATAGGACCATGTTTCTCGTATTTTGATCGAAAAAGGTATTTCGTTACTGTAGATTGAAAGTCCAGCTTTCGGATCCTGCTCAGGGAACTAGGAGTCCTATAAGACACCCCAAACGAGTCAGCAACTCTAATGTAAGGCTCTTTTGCTGTCTTATATTCATGTTTGTAATCGAATAGCAGTTTCTTAAGCTGTTTCTGCTTGTAGAGTGAATGTGCTGCGGCCGCAAGTAGGCATTCTGAAGAGCATGATGGCCAACGTGCTTCTGAATCTGACGTTCCTGATGGTAGTAATGGTGCTCCGGGACAGTCTGAGAATTGGATGGTCTTGTCAATTGCCGGGGAAAAACCAGCACCTCGTTTCAATGTATAGTTTTTTGTTTCAGTTACTTGGGTTGCCACTAATGATTATTTTACCTTGGTTAGGACCTACATGTGTGATCTTCTACTGTGATGAAGGTGACATTCTTTCTCCCTTTTGTTTTTTCTTTTTGTCAGCATGCCGCAACTGTGATTGGAAATAAGATGATTGTTGTTGGTGGTGAATCTGGGAATGGATTATTAGATGATGTACAGGTAGGGAAGGTTTCTTTCCGTCTACAAGATTCTGTTTTCCTTGCAGAAATATGACACAAAATTAATACATAAAGTTTATTATATGATGTGGGCTGACTCAAGTGATTGCTTTGCCCGTGTGGACAGTGATTATTTTGTTCTGTCTGCAGGTGCTTAATTTTGATAAATTTACCTGGAGTAGAGCCTCATCAAAGCTTTACTTATCACCTAGCTCTCTGCCGTTGAAGATCCCTGCATGCAAGGGCCATAGCCTGGTATCAATAGATAGCGAACGTGCTTGTTGTATAAATATTGTTGGAAAGCTATGTGTCTATTGAAGTAATTCTTTAAAAACAATATGCCAGGCCATATTGTTTAGATACATAGAGTGGACTTTTTTTATTGAAAATATAAATCAAAGGAGTAATTATAGACCAAACGGACGGCAGAGATTTATTTTTAACACGAAACTTACTTTTAGGCGTTGTAAAGTTCTATTATAGCATGACTATCACTCCATATAGGTAACAAACTTATTGGCTGTAAATGTAATACTCTTCTAATGTGCCCAAATCAGATCAAAAGAAAAATCTCTCTTGGAGAAATTAGACAAAATCATCCCTCGTGAAGTTGAGTCCTAATGGCACAATATATCTTCCATTAATTCACCATATTCATCTATTATTGTTAAACTTGAATCTCTAAATAAATTTCTGCTTGTTTTCAAAAAGGTTTCCTGGGGGAAGAAAGCTCTTCTGGTTGGGGGCAAGACAGAGCCGGGAAATGAGAGAGTTGCAGGTTAATATTTTACTTTTGATATTCATACTGCTCCTCTTTTGTTATGTAAGCTAATATTTCAGCTACTTGCAGTGTGGGCTTTTGACATGGAGACAGAATGTTGGTCACTGATGGAAGCAAAGGGAGATATACCTGTACTGTTTCTATATTCCCTCTTTACCTTGTCGAAATTTAAATGTTTTTTGGTGTCTTTGTTACCCAATTATTCGAATTAGTGTCAGTTAATCCGGGAATTCTTTTGTTTGAATTGAAGCTCTTATAATTCTGCTTTGCAGTCGGCCCTTTTTTACTGTTTCCCGCCTCAGTTTCTTGGAATATCAACTTGAATTTGAATATAGCTTATATAGTGAAAGCTAGCATTTCTGAGAAAATTTAATTATTGCAGGTTGCTCGAAGTGGTCACACTGTAGTTAGGGCTAGCTCTGTTTTAATTCTCTTTGGAGGTGAAGATAGTAAGAGGAGGAAACTCAACGACCTTCACATGTTTGACCTTAAATCCTTTACCTGGCTCCCTCTACATTGCACGTGAGTTGAACTTCACTGTGGGTTGAATTCTTCGCAGTACTTTTTATTGAACTTCTGCATGATTAATGCTATGTTATTTTAGGAGAACCTTTACTCTTCCATTTTCTCTTTGCACTATTTAAGAGATATTACTTGTTTTTCTCTTCTTATATTTCATTATCTACGTCAGAGGAACAGGACCATCTCCAAGAACCAACCATGTGGCAGCACTTTATGATGATAAAGTTCTACTTATATTTGGAGGGACGTCGAAATCCCGGACCCTGAATGATTTATACTCGCTTGACTTTGAAACAGTATGTAAATATGCTTTCTATTACGAAATTAACCCAGTCTGTGGTCCAGAATTTCATCATATAATCCTGATTGTATGTAAAACTATTTTTGTACCTTTGCTAGATGGTGTGGTCAAGAATAAAGGTACGGGGTTTCCATCCATCACCTAGAGCTGGTTGCTGTGGCGTTCTCTGTGGAACTAAATGGTGCATATCAGGGGGTGGAAGCAAAAAAAAGAGTATGTTCATGGTCTAAGTAGCAAATGCTTGCCTTTTTTCTCTTTAATCTGGAATCAGATTTGAGTTACAAAAGACTTATTCAATGAAATGACATTATTACTTTCTTTTTGCTCTATTTCACATAAAGATATCTGGTCTCCGAGGTTCAGCCATGTGTGGTTTAATAGATCTAGTTGTCAATTCCCAGAATAAGTTGAGGATATTCACCATCAGAACCCTTTAAATAATTCCGAGTTTGTCAACTACTACTGATGACAATGCGTTTCAAGTTTCCATTTTGGTTAATATCTTCAAAGCCTTAGTACATCCATTTTTTCCTTGGTTTTATCAACGTGCATCTATCTGGGGCAGCATTAAGCAATATCAGGAACTCTACAATTACAGGATGTATTTTTTGACCATGAACTGATATCTCTCTTTTTCTCGTCTACTTTCCCCTGCTCCTCACGCCTGCAGGACATACAGACACTTTAATCTTTGATGTATTGAAACTTGAGTGGTCTGTCGCTGTCACATCACCTCCATCTTCTGTCACCACAAATAAGGTGAGTGGTGAAGATTTTGAATTTACTTGTAATCTGCTGTATTTTGGCCACTTTTGCAAGTTAATGGATCTTTATATTCTCCTCTAGAAGGGAAAACTGGTAACCTTCTGAAAGGCCCCAACTTCCAAATTTCTTTTTTATTATTATTTTTTTAATTGCAGCTCACACACGACTTGGCGAATGATAAAGTGATTTTCGCTATCAGAATTTTGTGTTTTGGGGTCTGCAAAATATTCTTTTGAAAGCCTACTGTTACATACTGCTGGGATGAATTAGGGCGAAATATCTTTTTTAAGATTTGTGATTAAAAGCCTGGCTTCAGATTAGATTTTTTTTAATGGACGTGATTTTGCTAGTAGCACAGAGTCACACTTTCCATGTAGATCTTTACACCTATTGTATACAGTTTTTATTCTTAAAAAAAAAATGTTCTCTTTTTGAGAAGTAATCATTTGAAGATAACATATTTTGTTAATAACAGCACTCTTACTTTGTTTGAACCACTTCTTTTCGATGATTTCTTAAGATAGATATTTTCTTAGGGTTTCAGCTTAGTGCTCGTCCAGCACAAGGAGAAGGATTTTCTTCTTGCATTTGGGGGATCCAAAAAGGAGCCATCAAATCAGGTATGATTAAATATTATATTAAGTATTATTCTTTAATCTTAAAATTTAATTTCTTTTCTCTTCATGGTTGTGTTCCAGGTTGAAGTATTGACTATGGAAAAGAAGGAACCATCTTTCAGGCACCGATCCAATGCCAGTAAAATCCAGAAACTTTTAGTTCAATTAATGTATTTTTACAACTTTGATGGAAACTTAGTGATGCTTCCTCCCACCTTCAGTTGACTCAACCGCTAGACAAAATCTAGCTTCTGCAATTGAACATGGATCTGGAAGAAAATCCATTTCAGAGTCCTCGATTATCGATCCAAATCCTGCTCCTGGAAACATTTCACTGCGCAAGCAATTTCATAATGATGAAGCCTTTGACAAGACTACTAAGATAACCAAGACTCCAGAAGATGATTGCTCTACTTCTCAGGTAACTGCAGTTGGTTCTATTGTTATCACTCTCTAGTCTCTATCGTGCAAGTAATCCCTAATGAGAGTTCAATAGTGGATCTGTATTTACCGGCCTTTCCACTTTTATATCACGTTCCTTTTTAGTCCATAATCTCTATTGTTTGATGAAGTTCCATTTACTAAAAGATATTGTTTGAATAAATCCCCCTCTGCAAGAACCCCCATTATCCTGTCTGTATATTCAATTTGGATAAGGTTGAGGTTTTTATTTTAGGCTAAATTACAAAAATATCCCTTACCCTTACCCTCTGTTTCAAAAATATCCCTATTCTTTTAAAGGTTTAATATCACCCTTAACTTTTCATAAACATTTCAAAAATACCTTTTGAGCAAACATCCGTGGAATATTTTGAATGGAAAATTGACGTGACAATTAACATGGAAGTTTGTCTGGATTAAGTTTGAAAGGAGAGGAAATGTGGGAGAAGCTATCATATTTAAAAGGGGGATTAGGGCAAAATTGGGGCATGCTTCCATGTTAATTGTTTCCCCTTTTAAAAGCGATAGCTTCTTTCTTTCTCCTCTCTTTCCAAACTTGATCCATGCAAGTGTCCACGTTAATTATCATATTGTTACATTCCAGATTTTGCCATGACAACTTTTTGCTCAAAATATTAGTTGATGTTTACTCAAAGGGTCTTTTTAAAACGTTTATGAATGGTCAAGGATAGTATTGAAATTTTTGAAATAATAGGAGTGTCTTTTAAACAAATGCCAAAATTCAGGGTTTTTTTTTTTTTTTTAAATTTAACCTTTATTTTATTGGATATAACGTGATTTGTTATTGAAAATTATTAACCTTCTTTTATTTATTTATTTTTAGCTAACTTAACTTTCACATGGTTCGTTGGTGCAGGTAACAGAAAACAAGATAATTCAATCTGGGACTGAATTCCATGGGGAGACACTGCCTGCGGTATACGAGTATGACAGCTCAAATCCCTTCAAGGAAGGAGTTGGATATCATCCCATCGATRACACCGATCTATTCAGCGAAAACAGTGGTAAAATAGTAACACCGTCCACTTTTTCAAGTATATACCAATTCTATGAAGCGAAAATGGCTGCCTTGATTAGAAAAAATGGAGTTCTCGAAGGGCAACTGGCAGCAGCAATGGCAAGCCGAGAAGCCGTGGAGAAAAATTTATCCTCTGCTCTAAAGATCCGGCAGGAGATGGAGAAAAGAATAGCTGACATGGTAAAGGAGATGGAAATGCTCAGAGATAAACTAGCAGGAGTAGAAATAGCAAAAGAAGAGGCTAACAGTCTGTCAAATATCGTCCACTCTGACAACGTACGACTCGAACACGATGTTGCTTTCCTCAAAGCTGTTTTGGATGACACCCAAAAGGTATTAACTTGTCTCGTGGACGGTCGGGTCGGGTCATGTATACCTATGAATTTAATTACCATGAAGCTCAAGTATTGGACATTAATTTTTGGCTGTAGGAACTTCACTCTACGAGAGGGGTCCTTGCTGGAGAAAGGTCTAGGGCTTTTCAACTACAGGTACTCCACAAAGCTGGAACTTCTCTCTCTATTTCCTTTGAACTTCATTCCTGCAGACACAGTTCCCAGGCAGGTTACGACACTGCACGGGTTGATATTTATAGGGCCTAGTATCTATCATTTACGGTTAGGACTATTGAGGTATCTAATCACATTCACTCGCCTGGTGTTCATCTCTTAGCATCAATGGTCAGCAAGGCGGAGCGTTTTTGCTGTTGGTGTTTTTATTAGGAAGCATTTCCATCGTGCATATTCTTTTGTTTCAAATATTAGGTTTACTAGTTTCATACATGCGAACATAATATATTCTTGAGAAATTTTACTACATATGACAACTTTTCACTTTTTCCAAATATAGCATGCGACTTTTTTAACCATATTTTATATTACATTAGAGTTTAGCTTTGATTTGGATTGCGAACACGAGTTTAGCACAACAATTAAGACATCTCTACTCCCTCTCATACTATTTTTGTAAAATTTCGAACTTTCTGCTATATTTGATCCTCTTACATTCTTCCCCCGCCATTGAATGAATCCATTGGATTGCAGGTGGAAGTCTTCCATCTAAAGCAAAGACTGCAGTCCATGGAGAACCGAGCACCGACGCCCAGGAAACCATTCCATATGTAGCAATGCAATTTTATGGACATGAATCGGCCCGAAAAGCACGGTAAGCTTCTGTACATTAAGATGATTCCAGTTGTAGATGTAGAGATTATTTTTGGGATGTAACACCCTGAAATATCAGAGCTTATTTGAATCCCCAAGTCGCCTCTCTCTGTCTCTTGAATGTAGATTTTGGAAGAGATTTATTTCTCCACAAGTTCCCTTCAATGGGCTTTTAGGTTGTCGTAACCTTAGCGGAAGGGTAGAATTCTCCTCTTTTCTCTTGTCATATAGCGACAGCCCAACTGATGTAAAGAACCCATTTAGAATTTCTCCACGAAGCCTTTCATTTATTATCAGAAATTTTTTAAGTTTAAAAAGTATATAATATATATAAATAAAGGCAAAATGTAAAAAAGAAATCAAAAGATTTTTAAATTTTAAATAGGAAATTTGTAATGAATAGGTAAATGTTTAAATTTGTAAATAACATAATATAAGTACAACATGAGTTAAAGCTAAGTATTAATTGGCTGCTATGAAGTCGTGAATTTGAATTTATTACCTTCATTTGTTATACTATACTAGTAATAAGTCACGTAATTATTTGGGCTGTGTTTTGTAAGAATATATTAAGGGATTAATACATTGATGGACTATTTAAAGATCCTAATTATACAAAAGGATGGAATGTATAGAATTTACACATTTGTCATGTATCAACCCTATTTAAGAGGGTACCCATCATATAAATCTGTAGATTAATTGGAAGGCTATAATTTAGATCTCATAATTTTAGGTTAATGATACTTTCCAAAACAAATTAAAACACCAAAGCATTAAAACCAAAACCCTATATTTCCCAAAATTGAAATCATAACCTCCCATAATATCTCTAAATTCCGTCCAAAAATCTCTCAAATTCGAAATCAAGAACTTTTTTCGTTTCATCCATGAGACGTTTAAAACTTAAATTTTGGAGGACCATTTCTACATTAGTATAGGATATATGCGTTTATATCTTCTTATATACAACTATAAGATATATACACATATAAGATATATACACATATACAATATATACCTATATATACGAATATAATCAGGAATACTAAGAATATGAGATATTTAGAACTTCAATTTTCTATACACATAAACAAATATATCCTGGAAGACTAATAATTACAAATGGTATGGATGATCCTTTCTACAGAACTATAAGATATATGTATACACATATAAGATATATTCACGTATACAATATATATCCATATATACAAATATAATCAGGAATACTAAAACTGTGAGACGTTTTGAACTTCTATTTTCTGTACACATACATAAAATATATCTCCATATATACCAATCTTAACGAAAGACTAATAAATATTAATGGTAAAAACAGAAGGGGACAAGAGACGAGTAACGCGTTGTCGACGGAAACTTTATTCAGCGACGGAAAATGAACGGCGTTGGAAACGTGCAAAAGAAATAAATACCTTGTTCATAAAAGCCCTGAAGATGGAAAATGAAGGTCTGGTCGTCGACGTCTTTGCACGTTGGAAACGAAGACAGCGGTGAACAAAAAAAAAATGGTTGGAGAAAATCGGCAGCAAACGAGGAAATCGAATCAGCAGCAAAAATATTCATTTAACAAAATTGGAAGTTGTTAATTAGYGAGAGAAAAAAAATCTTTTTTGGTTTGCAGACTACATGCCTGCAAACCAACTGATGTTCTATTTCCGCTCTTTTAAGTCCAGTTTATTCTTTCGGATTTTGATTTCTTAATGCAAAATGCTGATTAAAAACCTAACATTTTGATTTTTAAATATTTTTCACTAACAAAATAACTGATGTTCATGTACGTCCATGCCTGCAAACCATTGTCTAAAATTCTTTTGGGAGTAGTTTGAACATGGCTGAAAATACTTTCCTTTGTCGTATCTAAAAGCATTTCTCACTCGAAATCAAAGTGAAAGCGACTTCAAAAAGCATGTCTCACTCAAAATCAAGGTAAAAGCTGACTTCAATGTCAGATCAGAAAGCACTTTCAAGAATGTAAAACCAGACATCGAAGTGCATTTCTTATTAGATTTAAAACTAAAGCATTTTACTAAAAGGACTTGAAATCTAACTTGCTAGCATAAGAAAACAACCCAAGGCCTAACCCTAGCAAGCAAAATAGTAGGGAATCTAACCCAACTTTGGGTTCATTATGTGAGAGGTTGGTGAATCTAATGGTGTCAATAGAAATGCAGCATAGAGATACCTTCTTACTTCCAAATGCGCTAATAACAATCTTGGTGTTTCTCCATGTCTAAAATTGATTTACACCCAATATTTCAGCTTTGATTTTGCGTCGTAAGTAGGACTAAAAACAGTCAGAATCAGAAAAGTAAGTTAAAATTTAGCATATGTACCTCAAACATGATAGGTAGTATACATTAAAGCAGTCATCTACTTCACATAGTAGCTCGAACCAACCGACTTGAAGATTCATGTCACAAATCCCAAACTTCAGGGGCTATTTCCAGGTTAGCAGAGAGGAAGGATTATCGGTCTAAATTCATTCTTCTTCGGGTTCTTCTTCTTCTTGGAGAAGGTTTTCTCTGTTATCATGAGCCCAGAAACCGCGCACGTCTATTAGCATGCTGGCAACTGTGCCACCTTGCTTGCAGTTCAGTAGATCGGTTGAAGTAATTTTTAGAGGATCGACTGGCTTAACCATGTCCCATATCTCGTCTCTCACATCTTCGATGCACAACTCGTAGTTCCCACCCTCTATCCATTTCTGATGCACATCTCTGTATCAGGGAAAATAAAAATTATTTTGGCATAATAAGCAATCCTTTAACCTACCAAAAGAGATTGCTTTGTAGCATGCAACTACTGAAAATGCTTCATACAAATATAATAACAATCATTGATGTATGTCTCTATATTTTGAGGCTCGTAGAAATAGCTCGATTCTACAAGCAGGAAATACAGATGTACTATGTAGGAAGATTGTATCAAGTAACATCTCAGCTTTAGGATGCTCCCCTTCTTTTACTTCCTTTATTTCAGGAATTTGGACTTAGTTGATCAGAATTAAACAAGACGGTTCAAATCGAGAAGTACTAGAAAACTAGGAAGCATGGACACGGATTTTTAGTTTGAGACGAGATTTTTAGTTTTTTTTTTTTGTATGAAAGACTGATTTTCTTTATTTATTTTATTTAGTTTTTATTGTAAAGTTTGTATTTTGTACTATTGTCATCTATGTATTAAGGAAGCACATTTTGCTTAGTTCAATTTGTATGATTAATTTAGTTACAAATATTACTACGTTGATATATACACATATTATCARAAACAAAAAATTTTAATAATGTGTTCCCAACGTGTCCATGTTTACTAGCTAGAAAATGTCAAAGAAATAAGATTCTCCCGACATGGATAGAGTCACTTCTCACCTGAAAAGAGTATGAATATCCACTGTTGTAAGGTGACCCCTCCCGTGAAGATCAAGACACCGAAATAAATATGTCAACCCTTCTGGAGTGTCTTTATTTTCAAGGGCGAGGACGAAGTCCAGAAAACTATCGAAGTCCATCTCCCTTGTGTTTCCTCCACCCTTGCTCCGACGAACATGCTCATCAAAAACTATAGAAAGCACATGATTAACTAATGAATTGAAAATTTACATGAAAATAGCATTGGAATCATGTTTTCATAAAATAATTGAATTAGAAAAGCATATAGTGACGGATAATAAAAGTAGAACAAACCTCTTTCAATGAAAATTTCAGTCAACGTCCCATCAGCATAATCTCGAAGCTCTTGCTTGCTCAATGTTCCATTCATATCTTTATCAAGGGCAAGAAACATGTCTGTAGAAATAAAGTAGTCAGCCAACTAAAAGCATAGGTTTATTTCCAATTTTCCACACTTATCACATGCATCTAAAAAAGTAGAACCTAGGCAAATAAAGTTCATCCCATACGTTGGGGTTGGTTTACGGCTCTCTCTTTAAAATTGAACCGTACGGTGAGTGCAGAATCAACAACATACAAGGACTTGAAAAGGACAAACACCTAAAATAACCAACCCTTCAAACAAAATATCAGCACCAAGATAAAGGAAGGAAATAACACACGATGGGTCATCAAGTAAGATGAATGTTACCCACCACAAATGCGTTGAGCAGATGTTAGAGAGAACCAGTTCTCTGCTTGTTCCGTATCAGTAACTTCTTCCTCAGTTTCCTGTAAAAGAGATTATATGTTAAAATAGTAACACATCTTCATGTAGTTCAGTACACTGCCTCTTCTTGGGTCAAACTGTATAAAAATTTTTCATTGTCTCTCGTTAGTCTTATCAACATGGATTGGGGTCCTACAGATCGTGTCTTTGTTCACATACTCTTTTAAGTCTTTATAAACTTCTTTTAAGAGTGTGTTTGGTAATGCTTTTAGAATAAGTGTTTTTAGCAAAAGTTCTTTAATTATAAACACTTTAGCATAACAAATCATTTTGATGACACTTTAGAACCAAACATCAAAAGGTACTTCTTGCTGCTCAAGCACTTGAGCCAATTTTTTTTTCCAAAGCACTTTATATTACTTCTAACCTGGAAGTCTTAGAGTGAGAAGTGTCTTTGACCATGGCCTAAGTACCCTAAAATCTCTCTACATCCTCACAAAACAATGCCGGCCATCGCTCACAAAAAAAAATGCACTCAACAATTTCCAATCATCCAATGGAAAGCCAATATGTTTCATAGTAGCCAAGGATGAGTTCGATCCATTAGGTTCTTCAATTTACTTGAAATTCCATCAACCATAAAGGAAAAAATGTATATTGGTCCATCTTGGTTTATATACATATTTTGGTTTTTGCATTTAATTTAGATTATATTAGTCATATTATTATAATACGAATCTTTTTTACCAGGGAATTAGAATCTTTCAGATTTCACCTTATTATTATGAATTTGATTTTTATACATACGTTAAGTTTAGGTTTGTTTTGACTAGAACCATAGGTTCACACTAAAGGTCAATTCAGTTTTTGATAATACAAGTCTTGAGAATATGCATATCAATGCATGATCTACCTGGTGCAGCTCCATTAGTTCCTGCAAACAATTACTGAGCAGCACTTTCTTTATGCAGGCTTTTCCTACAAAAGCAACAATGAAATTAAGAAGACACATTTTTACAARCTGTACGCAAAGAAGATAACTCGTTAGCCAAAAGCTATATATAATTAGCAATATTACCGTACAATAATAGACATTTAAGGGAAAAAAGATTAAAGGAAGGAACTATGCAACATTTTGATAACACATTCCTAATCCTAACACAATTCAAGACTGTCAGCAAACCTCTTCTTGCAGGATCACAAAAGAAGAAAAATTTGCGAGCAGCTATACGACAATACGTCTGCACAAAAGATGCAGGAATATCTCGTAGTTGAGCCAAATTTGGAATAAGACCTCTAATATAGCCCTCCATTTCCTGCAAAAAGATAATAAAACGTTCATTAATATGATTACATCAGTTGCTAGTGCTACTTGAACAAAATAAAATAATTGTATATCCAGTCTTTGAACGCATAAATATGCAGAAGGCTCATACGTGAGGTTGAAGGAAACCATCTGAATCCTCATCAAGCTCACTCATATCAATTCTGGCTTGAGTAAGAGAGACCTGCAGAATAAAGAGAAAATCCCACATGAAACCACAATCAAATTGACATGGAAGAATAAAAATCCTCCAAACATCTAAACATCCCTTTCTCTAGCATAGAAATATCCTAGAAGCAATTTATTGAAGTTCCACTCCCTTGGAATACTTCATACATAAAAGTATGAAATCTTAGGGGGATGAAATGGAATGCTAAACAGAAAACTATGTATCTCGTCTTAAATAACTTCAACAAAGTCCCATAGGGACAGTTAAATTGGCAGAGACTATTTGGCTCAGAGCACGCATCTTGGGTCCCAATCCCCAACATCCAATTGCCTTTGTCAAAAAAATAAATTACTTCAATGAAGAAAGGAAGAAAAATTAGCACAGTTCCCTTGACCAAAAGAAAGTCATACGGTTTAAAAAGCAGCATGATGACCATTGACTTTGAAATGCAGTTGATTTCATCATTTATACTTCCTCATACATTGAGATGGCAGCAAATTGTTAATGGCAGATTATTATTTCCTCAGGGTCTAAACTCACCGTTCTCATCACATAAAGGTAGAAGGGAAGAATTGCAATTCTTCCAGACTCATCTTTCTCAAACTTCATGAAATTAGAGGGACTGAAAAATCGCCGGCATTTAGGTCCTATTTGCTCAGCACATACTGAAGCAATGTGGCAAAAATCTTCATAGTTCATCTATGGAATCAAAATTAGAAAACAAGTAAGCATTACGATAGATCTAGCTCAATACGCTGCAGTCATAAAGGCTACAAGTAAGGAGAAGTAAACCAGGATTACAATGACATACACAATCATAATCACAGGATGTTAGTTGCCATTTACAATCGTTGCCCTGAATCAACAAGTTAATATTATCCAGTTACAGAAAATATGAACTTTAAAAACTATATAAATAATTCTTTAGTACACTCTCAAGATTCCAAGTAAGCTAATACGTTGTCCGTACGTATATTAACCTATGTTGGTTGTAGCTGGTTGTATCAGGCAAAGCTTTTAACAATGATTTTAAGTGATATGCTAAACAAACTTCAGCTAGGGCTTATAGCAGATGTAAACTAATGTGGCACATTGCTTAAACATATTAAGCCAGAAATATATTACCTTTTCTGCACCAGTTGCATCATCAATTACACAGTTTTCCCTCAGGCAAACCCACATTGCGTCTAGATCATCAGCATTTAACAGAAGGTCTGATTGTTTCTGCACATCAAGAATGTGTTGTGCGAAAGCTCGATATTAGTGCTTGTGCAGATAAATCAATAGAACATCAGTAATGCAAATGGAGAATAGTAATCATACCTTCAGGAATCGATATTTTGCAAGTCTCTGGACCCTATGGCTGATGGATCCCTCCTCAGGTTTCTAAAGGAAGAGAAAAATGCAAATTCAATGAAACAAAGAAAAATCAATGACATGGGCAAGATCTGGGTTTGCATCTCTTCTACCTTGAATCTCTATACACCTAAAAGTAAAACAATAATATTAAAAAATGCATCGCTTCTACCCTGATGTCAACAGTACATTAGGTCATGATAAAGCATCTCTGTTTCTACTCAACATCGATAGGTTAACTATGCAGTGGAGTTTACTCTTAAGAACATGTGAACTATAATCAACACATGCCTTCTTATAAAAACTTGGGATTGTACCAGCTTCAGCAGTTTTCCGTTGCTTCTCTTTGAAGATATCAAGTAAAATTCTTTTTGTCTCAAGCTCTACAAAAAAGAGGGGGAAAAAAGGATTAAGTTCCCCATTTCACCGTCATACTTTTTATATATCCATAATTAGTTTTCAGGCACGAAGTTAATCAAGATGCAACAGCAGCAACCAAAAAAAAAAAAAACCATAACCAATAATTTGTCGAATGCATATAGAGACGGTGGCATTTGCTAATTGCTAGATTAAAATGAAATAGATCCAAGAGGCAAGACAGTGATAAAGAGTCAATGAATGCCTATAGCAGCATGAATTATGCATATGGACATGCATGCTTGAAAGGGCAAAAATTGTAAGATCAGTGTTCAAACGTAAATTAGAGGGCTCATCAAGTAGCCTACTTGATCAATTTTCTTCAACGGCCGAAACAAGGAGTGCGATGCAAACTACAAGCCATACATTTGCATTTATAAATTAAATCATATCCAATAATCCGGATTGACTAGAAACAGCTATTCCAAGGCTTGTCCAGTTCTGGCTTTTATGCCTCTTCAAATAAACTGAGCATTGGACCTTTTATCTTTTGTTCCTAAATTACAGATTCGAAGAATTAAAATAACTTCCTATTTCCGTCCTTATTCCGCACAATCTAGTTGTGGTCGCAGCTAGTCCACGACGATCTACCAAATTGAAATGATCATAACACGTTTCTTCAAGACAAATAAATGAGTGCAGACAGATTGAGAGAACTGTCCATAAAAACTGAAAATTAACTAAAAGCAAGACGAACGGGAAATGTGGGGGTGAGGGGGGAATACGAACCCATCAAGGCTTCAGATCCTAGCCCGGTACCGGTTCCGATGAATCTCCGGAGGTTCCTCACCCACAGCATAGACGAAGCAGGAGGGATCTTCCTTTGCGGAGCCTCGTGGCCTTCGCCATCACTAGAACCACTGTACATAATCGAGCAACCGCCGGAGCTCTCAAGCTACGAAACAACTCCAATTTGGAATGCGACTACAATTTTCAGATTGAAAATGCCTCTCAGCCGCCGGAGAAGCTCCACTGAAGAAACCCTAGCGCCGATCGACCGGCTGGTCGGTGTGCGGATGAATGAACTCGCTTTCTCTGCTGTATCTATGGGTCGCTACTCCCTCGTAGGAAATAACTTAAATAGCTAATCAGCGCCTTGTTGTTATGTTATTTTCAATTTAGCCTCTAAAGTTTTAAAGAATAACGCAGTTGACCACCAAAGTGCTTGGCTTTAGTTACCATAAACCCGTGTAAATTTTGTTTAGTGCAATAAATCAGGGAGGACATCCGAACTCATGACCTATTTGTCATATACTAGTATCATTTATTGTCAAACTCGTGTGGGCAACTACTACGTAATTTTTTAAATTTGTTTTAATTTTATTTTTGCAACAATATGTTCAACATAAATAAGTATAAATTTTTCATGTGATAGAATATTATATAGCATGAATGCTAAAACTCGTATATTATTAGTATATCAATTAAATATTTTATTAATTATTAAAAACAATATACAAGTGGTATACTTTATAAATGATATAAAAATAGTTACACGATAAATTTGTTTATATTTGTAAATTATTTTTTCGTGTGACAAATTTACAATTACGATTATTACGATTATTAGACGGTCGTTATTCTTAATTCTACATTATAAAAAACTACAATAATATAAATATACATGGAGAATAAAATTCAATACAAACCCTTACATCAAACCCTCGACTAATTGAAACTACGAAGAAGTAACGTATTTAAAAGGAGTTGAATTAATCGAAAAATTGATATTTAATTTAAAATAACTCTTAAACTGGTGGAAAGTACTTTTCACCGAACATCATTACTTGACAAGTTATAATTCTGTGGTTAAAAGTGTTATTGAAAAATAACAAAAATATTCAAGTATTTTATGAATAAATATGCAATTATATATATTTAAAAAAGTAACATCAATAGCAATTTATCTTTATTTTTTTTATTTTTTTTTGGCAAAACACCAATAACAAAATTAAACTAACCACTACCTATATTTTTTAGCATCATTTAAATTATATAATTTATGAAATCATTATATACATTTAAATTTGGATTTCGGACATAATAATATATGTCTTAATAAAAAAATTATGTTAAAATCGGGAAAATTACATAAAAAACTGTATAAGTAAATGCGTCAATTAAATAATAAAAAGTGATTACCCGAAACATAAATTTAAAAAAATTCGCGGGCCAAATAGCAAAATCCCCACCAGACACAAACGACGTCGTTGCAGGGAAGATTGGGTTTCTTAAGCAGATAACGTTAAAGGTCCGTGGACACGTGTCGTGAAATAAATGGTTGGAAAAACCCATTCGCTACAGCTTCCCAAAACCCGCGAACCTACTGGACTCTGCAATTTGCCGCTTTATCCGAATTGGAAATGGCGGCCATTTCAATTTGCTTYGTTCCTCAAGCTCTGGCACGCCCCAGAATTCGGAACCCTAGAAGAACATCGCCGCCGAAGAAGCTTCGCGGGAACGATAAGCTCGAGGGCAACAGCGTTAAGATCAGAACCAATCCGAAGGATTTATTCTCCATTGGTGTCGAAGCAACCACCTACACTCGCCTCCCTCCCAGGGAAGACTTCGCTCTTCCTAGCTTTGGTTCTCCGTCATTTGATTCTGTTTATTCTTCCCAGTCTTCGTCTGAGGTGAAGCTTTTGGATTCCGATGTTGCGATTATTGAGGAGGAAGTTGGTTCGGATTCTTTGAACTACGACGAGCGGGAGGAAGAAGGGGAAGGAGGATTGGATGGGAATTTTGGGTTTGGTTATGGGAAGTTTGAAGTGTTTGAGGGGGAATATGACTCTGAAGTGGAGGAGTATGGTAATAGTGATATGGAGGAAGACGAAGGAGAAGAGGAAGAACGTGAGAAGGTTTCGGCGTTTAGGAACGAGAAATTTGTTAATACTGATGAAGGGGGTACGGGTTATGATGACGTTTATGACACTGGCGAAGAAGCAAGCTCTTTCCTCGACGGAGGAGATGTGAAGGAGAGGGGGCTGCCAGCAGTAATGCGGTGCTTTGATCGCGCAAAAATCTACGTTAAAGCTGGAGATGGTGGCAATGGTGTCGTGGCGTTCCGACGGGAGAAGTATGTGCCGATGGGTGGCCCATCAGGAGGAGACGGAGGGAGGGGTGGGAATGTGTATGTTGAAGTTGATGAGTCAATGAATTCGCTATTGCCATTTCGAAACGGCATACATTTTCGTGCAGGAAGGGGTAGTCATGGGCAGGGGAGAACGCAGCACGGGGCAAAGGGGGAGGATGTAGTGATGAAGGTGGCACCTGGAACAGTTATAAGGGACGCATTTAGCCAGGAGGTTCTTTTGGAATTGTTGCATCCGGGACACCGGGCCCTGTTGCTGCGCGGCGGAAGGGGTGGAAGAGGCAATGCATCCTTCAAGTCCGGAACAAATAAAGTCCCCAAAATTTCAGAAAATGGAGAAGAGGGTTCAGAAATGTAAGTTATTTTGTTCTTGCTCTTGCATGGTTCCTTTTTTTTGTTTGTTAATTTTCCAGATTTAGCATGTTAGATTAAATACCGTCAGAAACGTGAAAATTATATGAAAATGGTACTTCAGCTGTGTCTCACAACACATGCACGGATAATCTAACCATTTTCCACAAATTCCCATGACGGTCGTTTATTCAAATGCATTATCATTTGTGATTGGAATGAGGGTAAGCAAGCCAATTGTACTCATATCACAGTCTCTCTAGGCAAGTATGAGTTGCTTGTGTGTAGAGAGAAACGAGTTGGAAGGCTTAAATCAATAGTCAACTGCATGGAGGAAAGGGATTGCAGTATGTCTTTCTTTAAAAATTTGCCAATTTCAGGAGTTTCAAAAATTTGATCCTGTTGTCAATAACAGTGGTGTGGGTATTACGGGACAAGGAGAGGGAAGAGTAGGTGGCCATCTTGCGGCCTCCCTCGTATGCACCTTCCAAGTTTCCAAGTCATTTGTGGAGGGATTAGATTGGCATCCTTTGAGTGACTTTGAGAGGGAAAGCTTTGGTACGCTTTTCACACCCTTGAGAAGATTATGGGGTTGTGTTTAGTTTTGACGATTCCCAAGGTGTGAGATCCTGATGGCTCCCAGTGGCCTTTTCTTGAGATGAGTTGGGTGATCATTAAGCTCGATTTACTAAAGGTTTTCAATTAGAATGAAATATGAATGAAATCTACATCTGTCATCTTCCTAAAAATGACAATGTTTGTAGAGCAAAGGCTGACTGATCTTTTGACAGATTTCTACAAATAACATTGCCAAGGCTTTAGCAAATAGGATGAGGAAGGTGTTATCTCATAAAATTGGGGTACCTTTGTGGCTAAAAGAAAAATTATGGATGGGGTTCTCATTGACAATAAAGCCATAGACAGTTATAGAGTTCGTAAGGTGGAGTATGTCTTCCTTAAAATCGATATCAAAAAACTTATGATCACTTGAGTTGAGATTATCCTGCTAAAGTTTTGTGCAAGAAAGACTTTTTCTACAAAGTTCTTGAGTTGAAATTTAATTTTGTCGAAGAAAGACTTTTTCTGAAGGTGTGGGTGATAGTGGCTTAGTCGAAGGCAGGGTGGGAAGGAAATGTTCCATGTTACCTATTTGAAATTTCCAGATGGTACTATTTTCTTTTGAGGGAGGAGTTCATTGTTAATCTCAACAGGATTCTTACCATTTTCAGCTGATTTTCGGTCTCAAGATCAACAGAGATAAATGTTTCATTGGAAATGTTAACTGTGATCTTGCTAAGCTTGGTTGATTGGCTTAATTGGTGGAATGTAAGGATTCTTTGCTCCATCTCTCGTATTTAGGTCCTCCTTTAAGGCACAATTCAAGAGCAATCTCATTATGGGATCTAGTTGTGGAAAAAGTACTAAAGCATCTTGCATCGTGGAAGAATGACTTTCTTTTCTTTTTCCTTCTAAAAGTGGCATACTGACCCTAATTACGAGTTGGATTGCATTTCACTTCCTTTCCATCTTCAAAGCTTCTTCCTCCATTTGCGCTAAATTTGGAAAAGTTGTGAGGGGTTTTAGCGGGATGGTGTGGGGGAGGGTGCTAGCTCTATTTAGTTTGGTGGGAGTTACTGCCTAAACCTTGTGAGATTGTGGTTTGGGGATTGGGTATTTGGTTTCTAAAAATTTGGATCTTTTGTCCCAGTAGTTGTGGCATTTTCAAAGTAGAACCAAATGGATTGTGACACAAGATCATTGGAGCAAATATGGGTGAAATCTCAGTGGATGGGACTGTAATGGGGTGGGGACTGGCTCTTCTGAGGACCAATGAGAACTATTTTATGTTGCTT